TGGTCTACCACGCACACGAACAATTTACATAATATTATGCAATACCTACCATTCGAGTTGTGTGTTAAAATAAAACCACCGCTTCGATCCCTCAAATCATTTAGAAATATTATGGCTATAAAGTGGTGTTGAATAGGTATATTTTAAGAAATGACAAAAAAATTGGTGGCGTTGGCGTGYCCACATGGGTACCTTATATTATAATATGTGGAAACATAATATTTATTCAAATTTCAAAGTAACGAATAGCTTATACCCGCCGGAATGTGATTTGTTTATCATGTGTTTAAAGTCCTATTTTAATATTGTATTATTATTTATTTTTTTTATCTCATAGTTGAGCGTCAAAAATAGCCGGATGTATATTTTTTTTTTTGTTATTTAACAAATCATTTGATTGGACGTTAAAATAATATGTGTTTGTTTGGTATGCTGATTCATTTAATTGTTAACTGCAGTTTTTGATATTTTTTAATTTTATGGGTTTTTGAAGTATGCATTATACGTATATACGCAGATGCATAACGAATGTAATATAATGTGGCTAAATTTGAAAGTAAGTTAAAAAAAAAAAAAAAATATGAATTTATTTGATAAATATAAAAATCATTTAAATTAAAATATATTTTTTTTTTTTTTTTATTATTGTTTAAGCATCAATTGCAAGGTTATTAGCTTTACTATTGTTAATATATTATATACTCGATTAACCCATAGAAATAGTTTCTACATTTTTTAAATACCTACAAAATATGATATTCTGTATTATTTTTGTGGCAGAAAATAATTGAGTAGGTACCTTTTTAAGTTTTAATTCATAATATAATATAAAATTAGGGATGTGTATAAATATAAAATAGGTCTACCTATATTATATTACCTATACCGAATGATTCTTATATCGAGTACCATTTATTATTTAATATATTTTTTTAAATAGTTTCAAGTTGTTGGAAAACAACATTAATGAAAACAATTACGCTTATTATTAGTTATTATTTTCTAAGTTTTTAATTTTTATAATGACGGCAAAATACATTTTTAATTACTCATCATTGCAAACTAGAATATTGTTCGAAGTACTTTTAGTTTTGGATGAGTACCTAAATAGTTTATGAATTATAAGTACTATTATATTAGTAGATATAATGTATATACTATGTATTGTTGAGCGGAGTGGAGTGGCACAGAGAAACCCCCCCCCCAAATATTGGTTCACTACTTCACTGAGTGAAGTTTACTCACTAAACTTTTAATTTTTATAAGTTAAAACTAACGTCTTACTTACTACTCATACAAAATTTAATTTGTAATTTGTATACWTTAAAATACTTCGAATAATACATGTTGCTTAGAAATACCCATAGGATAAAAAATGTATGCTATCATTCGAAAAAATTAAAAACTTAATATAACAATACAAAATAGTAAAAAATATAATTATTTTCTAAAATATCGTTTTGTAGCTCTTTGTAACTGTGAAACAAATATTTGAACATCATAAATAG